GATCTGATGTTCTGGGTTTCGGCTGATGACACCCGTGGTGGGGGCTCCTGGAAAGTGACATGTATCATAGAAAACTGGGAAGAAGGCTTCAGGCAAATTCCTGACCACAAGTGAATTGTTTTGAAACTTGAGATTAGGTAGTAATGCTGTTTGGTGAAAACATAAACAAAACTGTAAGCTAGATCATAGGCAGGATATCATAAATGGCATAGGAAGGCGGATGGCAGCGGAAAAGGATGTCCCAGATGATGGGAAAAATCTGGGTTACATGGCTATTCTAGTGTCTCATGAGATGACAATAGATTTTTTTTTTTTTTTAAAGCTAAATTAAGTTTGGGGAAGCCTACACATTAGATACTAACTCTCTGAAACTCTACATTGCATATTAGCATAGTTAAGGCTTTGAGGAAACCCACAAAGAAAGCAACTTATCTCTTTTAAGCCCTGAATTTGCCATCGGAGTTGGGCCATATAAAGACTTACAGGACATCCATTCTACCTACCAGCCATGCGGCACTGATGTTCTAACAGACCACTTTAGAAAATCTGGATCTCTATCAACGCACAAAGTATTGAAATGCACAAAAATTAAAAATTTCACAAAACTCAACCTATGGGGAAGAAAATAAACGTGAAACAATAACACAAGCAGGTAAATGTTATGTTATACATAAATCGAGACACTGAAGTATGGGATGTAGGGGCTGGAGTAAAACAATATAATGGTATGTTTTGGACAAAAGAAACCAATTCGGTATAATGATACTAAGCAGCACTTGATAGGAAGAGGGTAAGCAGGGAAGTTGAGGACAGTGGGGACGGAATCATGGGGGGCACATGTGGGGAATGACAGAGGGGAGGAAAATGGAGAGGGTGTCGCGTGCGAACCACAACAGCACGTCCAAGAGGAAAGGCGCAGTGCGACCCGGGCTAAGTGATCCCATCTCCTGGGAAATCCTTTTTGATAAAATCAGAGAAGATGAAAAAGGTGTGCCTTCCTTTGCTGATAATTTTAATCTCTCAATAAGCCCCAGGAGTAGGAAGGCATGGGACTGGGTATCAATTCAGTTTTAACCAATTTGGGAAGAGGGGTTGGTCATTTAGACATACCGGAGATTCTGGGAGAAGGCCAGGTGCTCATAAAATCCAGCCTCTCCATAATCCTGTCAGAGACAGTTTGGCTGAGATGTCTTGGGAGGCAGGCCACACTAAACAATCTTTAAGCCCCTTCTGAAACTGCGGGCACCCGGGAGACTTGCAGACGCGGCCCCACGCAGACTGCGCAGACTGCGCAGACGCGGCCCCACGCAGACTGCGCAGACTGCGCAGACGCGGCCCCACGCAGACTGCGCAGACTGCGCAGACGCGGCCCCACGCAGACTGCGCAGACTGCGCAGACGCGGCCCCACGCAGAAGCTGCTGCCTGCGGCTGTGTTGAAAGCAGCACTGACCACAGGGCACGGACGCTACGAAGAGCACAAGATATGTCATATAATATAAATACACAATAGAGCTATCAGAGCTGAAACAATGGTACTGGGACAAAAATAGATCGGTAGTACAGGCAGCTATTTCCAGAGTAGATTAAAATACACGTAAGAATGGAAGATCTGATCAAAGAAGGAAGTAAGCCTATGGAGGCACAGAAAATTGGGAATACCTATCAACTTCTAGCTTGGGCTAAGCCTTTCGGTAGTTAGAAATGGAATAAAGAATTCATCAAGGAAAAGTTAAACCTATTAAAAAAAAACAGCATTAAGGGGCAAGAAACAGACTAGAGAAGTATTTTTAGGAAACAGGAATGCCAAGGATTAACATGCTTAATTGTGAACCACTAAACGTAAACCAAAAACAAAACAACTCTACCAAGAACTCTGTGTGATAAATGGATATGGTATGAAAGTAATCTATTTACAAAAGAGGAAACATGAATAGGAGATAGGGAGGGAAAGTAAATAATTTACAAAGGGTAGTTATAAAACAATTTAAGGCCAAATAATAGGATGCCATCTTTGCATATCAAATTAGTAAATATATATTAAATACACATGTAGATTTCGGAAATTAATTGCCCAGTATTTCACTTTAAAATGTTCATTTCTTGTGACCTACTAGTTCAACACATAGGAGTTTATCCAAGGACAATAATTCTATTTGCTGAAAAGCTCTATGCATGGAAATGTTCATGTAATATTATGTTTTTTAAAAAAGAGCAAAACAGAAAGAAGGAATAAGTTAATATTTAATGAATGCTTACTACGTGTAGGTACTATGTGGTTATTGCATGTAAGTTATCCTACTAAAATCTCACAACAGTCCCATGAAATAGACATAATCATTTCACAGAAAGGTAAAATGCTTCTACATGCTTCAAGAGATTAAGTTCTCCAAAGAAACTTGGCTAGGAAGAGTAAAGCAATGGAAACAGCCTACATGTAAACACTGGAATGGTTAAATAAATTGGAGATTCCTTCAATGGATTAAATTTCTTAAACATAAAACAATAAAATGGAAAAATAATTTAGGATAAGGTGTTACTAAAAATGCATCATAGAACAGTTTGTATTCCATATGATTAAACCATGTGGATGGAAAAAAGACTGGAAGAGAACACATACACACACATGTCCTCTGTTTCCCTGTCTTTTAAATGGGAACATTAACAAATAAATAAACAACAATATCTCCTTGCCTCAAAAAGATGACTGTGGAATCAAATGGCATAATGTATGTGAAAGAGTTTTGCGAATTGGAAAGCAAATGTTTATTTGCCCAAGCAAATAAAACCGAACCCGACCCTGAGGCAGAGTCAGCCGGCAGCCCTGGGAACAAAGCAAAGTGCTCTTACACTGGCGGAATGCAGACATGATGAAGGGGCGCCCAGGAAGACCCTGAAAGGCTCAAAAACAGTTTAAGCAGTCTGGCTAATCCGGGAGATAGAGAACGTAATTCAGGGCAGATACGGTAAATCTTCTCTAACGAGCAGGGCTGTAATTCTTTTCATGGTAAGTTGCTGGGAAAATCATAAATTGGTCATGGTTAAAATGTCAGAAGACTCAAAATCATAAGAAAAAATAATGAATTATTGAGCTTGTGGCTTACTCTGGAAGTTATACAACATTTTCTGAGAGAAGTGGGAGGTGGAGACAAGAGTAATTTCTGCTAGATGAATATTTCAATTAGGCAGTTGGGAAAATTTAGGTGGAAAAATACAAACCTTTGCTCTCAAGTTAGTAGAAGGAAGTATCTGTCTGGGTTAAGCTTTAGGGAAAAGGAGTCTGGATAAACACATGCTCGAACCATAGAAAATGTCACTTATGTACATACATACATGTCATGCACCAGACTAATCCTCAACTCCACGTGAATTTTATAATATTTTGGAGAATTTTATAAATATCCTAAGTATAATGCTTTGTAACTCAATCTTTTTTTTTTTTTTTTAAGATTTATTTATTTATTTTACAGAGAAAGAGAGAAAGCGCACATGCCCACGAAGTGGGAGAAGGGCAGAGGGAGAGAATCTTTAAGCAAACTCCTCGCTGAGCACGGAGCCCAGTGTGGGGCTTGATCTCATAACCCTGAGATCAAGATCTGAGCCGAAACCAAGCGACGCTTAACTGACTGAGCCACCCAGGCGCCCCTGCAACTCAATCTTTGACTTTCCTTTTTCTGTCTCCCACTTTACCCTGCCTCCTGTCCTCTCTCCTGTTCTTTCTTACTATTTGAAAAAATAAACCATATGTAAATACATATACGTATAGGTATACAGACATGTAATTTACTATAACTAGTTTAGAATTTTCTATCTATGGCCATTATTAAAAAGCAACAAACCAACCAACCAAATATGCTCGGTCAACTCAGCACAAAATACATAGGTCTGTGGGTATAGAAACGATCTCTCCAAAAGCTATTGGTTTCTACCTGGTGTGTACCATCTACCCTCATCTAACTTGATGGGCAAAAGTGAATTGTTCTTCTGACATTAAAACAATGACCATAACATACATACTGACTGTCACCTTTCCATTGCAAATTCCGAGAGGGCAGGGACCACACCTGCTTTGTTTACAGCTGGAGGCCCCACACCAGGACAGTAACTCAATAAATACTTACTGAATGAACCGATGAGTGAGTGAGTGAATACTGCAAATCTTAGGTATCTTCTCAGACAGCTTAAGTCCTACGTCCCTGATATCTTCTCTTAAAGCCCAGTGGTTCATCCTTCTGGAAATTACTACATTACTAGCCTGCACCATTACTTAACACCTGATTCTGCACATTATTTTTATTGCTGTTTTTTTGTTGCTCTGTTTTGCAATTTAGGGAGATACAGTCCTCAAAGACACACACACACACACATATATATTCTGTTTCCCAAAGTACTTGTTATAGGGCACATGGAAAATCCTCAATAAACATGTATTAATTGAACTGATGAAATCTTTTAACTGGCCTTCTACTTTGTGACATTTCTAAACATTTTCTGTATGGGATGCATTGTATTATGATTCCAAAGTGTGATGGGAAAAATGTAGAATATGGAGTCATTTGAGTTGGGTTTCTAGTTATGTTACTTCAGTGCTGAAAAGCCGCCTAAAGGCTTGTCCTCTGTTTCCCTGTCTTTTAAATGGGAACATTAACAAATAAATAAACAACAATATCTCCTTGCCTCAAAAAGATGACTGTGGAATCAAATGGCATAATGTATGTGAAAGAGTTTTGCGAATTGGAAAGCAAATGTTAGCTTTTCTATGTAGCAATTAAAAATATGAACTTGATATTGCAATGCTACAGAGGATACATGGCTTTTTTCTGAGAATAGTTATTAGGCAGGAGAGTGAGGTGATGAGAAGAACCTCCAGCACAGCCTGCCAAACATGCCCCTGGTCATAAATCACAGACTCTGCTCAACACTTGTGTGTGAGGGAGATGACTGGGCCCCCGTCCCCCACATCTCTGGCACTGCCACGAAGTCCCTTCACACCCAAGCTTACCGGACACGAGCTGCTGTCCAGGCAGCCCCACGGGAACCATGCCCAAGTTATTCATGGCGGTGGCCCAGGCTGTGGGATCTGTCACGGACATGTTGAGCTGCGTGGTGTCTATCGCTATACTCCCCAAACCATCGGCTGCTGTGGGGAGAAACAAACCATGACTTCCAGTCAATAGGCGAGAGTTTTTGTTTTAAAGGAGAGCACACATTTCTGGAGACATGATACTTCATTTAGCACATTGCCAAACCACACAAAAATAAAGCACTGTAATCTATGGCAATGTTTTCTCCAAACGTAAACATAAAAGAGTTTCCAAATACATTCTGGGAGGAAACTTAATGACATGTAGTTTGTATTATACACAGCATGCCATTAAGAAAGTACTCCTGGAAACACACACACACACACACACACACAAAACAAAACAAAACAAAAAAACACCTGAAGAACTGCTTCTCTCTCTCAGTGAAAAAACATTAGTTAAGTTCCAAGGTTGAGAGGCAAAGCAGGACAACTCCTTTGGTAAAATAAGTCAACTGGCTTAGTAGACTAAAAATAAATACAATCATCTGCTTCTGAGGAGAATTCTGGAGCAGGCACACCTTCTAACTAATTAATAGAATCTTTAAAAACATTGTCAAGTAGCCAAACTGGTCCTGACTGAATTCATTAGTGTTACCTTGTAACATATTCTTTCCCTTCTAAGCTTTCTGGATCATTACATTAAGGAAATGCAGGTGTCCGCCTAAAATGACTCCTCCAAAATATTTCTTCCAAGTTCAGACTTTCATCAAAACAAAATAAGCCAATAAATAATATTAAAAACAAAGAGCACAGAGCTTAAAAAAAAAAACTCAGCAAAATATGTGAAATTTGACTTTATGCTTCTTGATGTACACTAGTTGCACAGCCTGGTTTCTGTTAAGGATCCCAGGTTCCCAGGTCAATGCACCTGTTCATGGCCGGGCAAGCTTTTCCACTAAGAACTCAAAACATCTTGCTGTGTCCTGTGCTGGCCGCCCCTGACATTTACCTGCAGCCATCATCTGAGGAAGCTGCTGGGGACACCGGGTGATGCTTTCAACGCCACCTGCATCTACTACTGAATTAGGAGCATCCTGGGCAGCAGGAGCGCTCTGATGGCTGAGTGCAGGGTCCCCACGGAGGTCATCGGATTCTGCAAAAGGGGAAAGCAGTGTGGTGAGCGATCGTGACAGTGACCTGAGGGAGGCTTCGCGGACAGAACTGTTGTCTAGGCAAAAACAGACAAGCGACAAGGGACAAGTTCCGGTCACAGAGTCATGGGCATGGGGCCCAGAGCAAGAGCTGCTTCCCGTGCCCCAGCAGCCGGCTCCTGCCTGGGTTCCCAGCTCTGGGTGCTGGGCGGGTCAGCTGTCGGCTCACCTAGAGCCCGGCTGCCTGAATAAGCAGCCCCATGCGCGAGCGAGTGAGCAAGCGAGCGGCCACTGCCTTGCCTCCTCCTCAAGACACATCACAGACGGGGCTTATCAGCCCCTGAACAGCCTCTTCCACATACTAAACATCAATGGAGAGGGCAGACTCAGGGCTCAAGATGATTTTTTTTAAAGTTAAAAAATTAATTGATGTTGTTATTTCGGAAGACGGTCGTCTGTGAAATGTATTCAGAGAGGGGAAAAAAAAAGTAGGGAAGAAGAGAAAGGCAAGAAGCTCTTCACTGTGGGGCTGGTAAAGGAGTGCACCCAGATTACAATAGTCAGGAAAGGCAAAAGCAAAGAATGGCAGGTGGCTCATAAAAGAAGATCGAGAGGATGTTGGGGCAGCAAAGGAAATGCAGTTGTTTCCTTTAGTTCTATGGAGATAAAGTGAACAGGCCACAGTTTGTTTGGTCTGAATTTTCTCTAGTCTCACAGTGCGCACCATGCGCGCACACACACATGCATGTATTTTTATTAAACTTTACAGAGCACTTTTCTAATAAAAACAAATAACAATAAAACATTACATAAAGCTGTAAAGGAAAGGGTCCCTTTATTGCACACTATTTATAAAATGCTACGCCTTCTCTCCATCCTTAAAAATGCAAAACCACGGAATTCATACCTACATATTTTTTTCATAATACGTATTTTAAGTGCACTTTCACCAGTTCAAAACTGAAAAACAAAACACACCACTTAGATGTGTGATCTGAGGAGTTTGAATTTTAAATAGATTTGATATAACAATTGAATTTAATTATTTCTTTTTATTTAGGTATAAATTTAGAAATTTTTCTAATCCATGTTTCTGTCAATGGATATTGCAGAATTCGAGGTTATGGCCCATTTCTGCATGTTTAGTGCAAAGTTTGGCCCTTTTATGGTATGCTCTTTTATTTGATTCTTAGGTACCCGAATCAGTAATCCCTTTGAACACTATACTGTCAAAGAAAACTCATTGCCTGTTGAGTATAAGTTTAGTTCAAATGGAAGCTCAGATTTCAATATTTCAAGGAGAGGTGAATAAAATGAGCAAATTGTTTCCATGGTCTCCACAAACCCCTAGTGTGAGACCAGAGGGGCATGCCAGATAGTGGGGAAATTTTTCCAATTGTTTGTCAGCGAGGTGAAACATCATCATGCAGTAGAAAACAATTCAACTCTGGGAGCAAACTGCACTGAGGACAAATGTTTTATACCTTGCAATTAAACTCTACTACCCAAACGAATTGAGAACTTGCTTATCTATGGTGAATCAATTATCTTGGGCAATGAATGCCATCGGACGACAAGTCTCACCATAGAAAATCAACTCAGTAACATAAAGACATGGCTAACCTAAATGTGTGCCCTTTGGCTACCCACACACCAGCTATATTTCTATGATGAAACTTGAAAGCACTTTCCCCTCTCCACCTCCAGCCAGTTCAGATCACCACAGCAGAGTCTGGCTACACTGTTCATTCTTTGTCTCGAATGGCCATATAGTAGAGTCATTTCAGATCACTGCAAGGTCACTATTTGTCTTCCTTTATCTCCCCAAATGAAGTTTAGTTGGCTGCCTTCCTTCCAGCTCGGGTTCTCCCCAAATGGGCATTAATCACAACTTTCTGTCCAATGAGTCTATGGTTCTGGAATATTACAGCAGAGAACATCCCTTTACTTTGTAGACTTTACAACTTGTACCTGACCAGCCATATTTCACCTTGCCTTTTTGCAACAGTATTTTAGGAATGGGGTCAGCTTTCCATGGCTCCATAACTGTCTGTTCCGATGGTAGTTTTTTTCTTTAGTGATTATGGTGTTACAAAGGGCCATCAAATGTCCCGGGGGCCCATAGCGCCTACCCACACTTTCATGCCCACCCTAAACGGAGGCTGTTTCATTGAGAGCATCACTGAAACAAAAACAAACAAAACCCCATTGCTTTGTTGGCAAGATGTGGTTTGTAAACCTGAATGTATCCCCTACTGAGACTCTGTGACATTTCTTACATGTCTTTAATCTACCAACCCAATGGTTTCAATGTCATAAAACTTCATGTCGCTACCGTGTACCCAGAATGGTAAGTTTAAAGTAAGTTCTACAACATCTTAGGCATATGCAAGTCTCAAGGATGCCATGCAATTCTTTTAAAAATGTAAATTTCCTTGACGCTCAGATGAAAGATGATATTTTTAATTAATTACTGCCTAGTAATTTATGAGTAGTGGCAAGAGTGATTTTCATACTCTACTAACATCTATCGTTCCTATTGAATACCTGCCTCTTTAGAGGACTCAAAACTATAATGCCTAATTTATCATTCAAATCAATTTCTCTGCCTTAGTGTTCTTATTTCTAAACTATAGAAAAGATTAATATTGTTAATGGTGTTTATTTACACACAGAGATGTGGGGAGCTAAAAAATTATAGCTAATAAAGTACTTTGAATATAGTAAGTGCTAATTATTATTATTTTATTTGGAAGTGTAGTGTTTCTATTAAGGTACCTTGGGATCTTACTGTTCTACTGGATAATTATGCAATTAATGCTAAAACAGTGAGTAACACTTGATATTTCTAAAAGTAAGCATTGCCCTAGTTTTCTATGCCACACCTAAATGGTAGCAGAATGTTTCATTTTCTACAAATCCTTTATAAAATAATATAATGTGATTTAAAAGGTGTATGATTTTTTTTTCCTCTAGGTCTTTTTCTGTCTATGCAACTATGAAAGCTTTCAAGAGACTGATGACCAATTATGAAATTGGCAGTTTGAATTTATAGCTTTTAGTGTGATAAGATCATCACAAAACAATCAGATGTACAAAATGCCAAAGATAACAATGCAGCTTTATCCAGGGTTCAACCGAAATCTAACCCGTTCTTTGTTAAGGTACATTCAAGTACAAAACCTCATACTCAATTTAATAACTGTTCAACAAGGATCTATTTATGTTCAGGATTTCACTAGGCTATATCAATGGGGTAAATAATTTTTGAAACTCACCAAGCCTATGCAAATACTATTTTTCCCCCTTCCCCCCTCAAAAACAAACAAACAAATAGCAGGGGCTTATTAGCTCACTGTAAATAACACAACTCTTGCTAACCCTGTCCAACTTTTACAGGTCCCAAGGATACATACATGCTATGAATAATAAAACCCATCTGTAACTGTCTACAAAGCATAGATTGTTATAAAATGGGGTGGAGATGAGTTAAGTTTTGAAAATTCTCTTTCTTTTTAATTTAAAAGAATGATTTTGTTTGATGTTAAGTCCTCAGGTTCATGCCTACTTCAATAGAAAAATATAGTAAGAAAATCATATTTATTAATGTGTTTTTTTTTTTAAAGATTTTATTTATTTATTTGAGAGAGAGAGAATGAGAGAGAGCACATGAGAGTGGGGAGGGTCAGAGGGAGAAGCAGACTCCCTGCCGAGCAGGGAGCCCGATAAGGGACTCGATCCCAGGACTCCAGGATCATGACCTGAGCCGAAGGCAGTTGCTTAACCAACTGAGCCACCCAGGCGCCCTATTAATGTGTTGTTAAGAGTTGATTCCAATGGAAACTTATTTCATATGACATCTGAATCTTATTTTATAGGAATTATTCATTAGCATTATCATGGCTTATACTTATAGCAAAAAGAGAAATGCATTCCTATCCAAAGTTCTACTTTTCTTTTCCAGCATGAAGAAAATATTTCACTTTGATGTTCATGTAATCAGTAGGATACTCTTGGGGTTATAGAAATGTTCCCTAGCTTAAAAAAATACAGAATATTGTTAAAGAGATGTTACTTATGTATTAACTCCATGATTTTTAAGCCAACTGTCTATGAATAATAAGGGAGACATTTCTGCTTCCTATAATGGTAAACTAAGTAATTCAGACCAATTCTCCCACTGAGAAACAACTAGAAAAGCTTAATGTCCTTCATCTGTTTAATAAAATTCTATTATTTCTTCAAATAATCCCAAAGGACACACTCTAATTACTATAGAGGGTTACTAGGCTTCTAAGGAGAATGGGTCCTGCCACGTACTAGGTCTTAATGTTTTACTGATCTTGGAAATGAGTGGCATCTGCAAGTTTTGAGGCAGAGGTGGAATTGCTTTGCATAATGTGGTCAAAGAGGACCCCAAGGCTAAGCGCTCTGAGGGGAAAGAAAGAAGGGATCTTGGGGACCACCCATGAGAAAAAGGCACTTCGGAGAAGAGAAATGACTGAAGCAGATTTCCAGGTGGCTCATTGGGAAGTATACAACGTATACAAGCATTTTCTTGCGCCCTCTATAGAAATGCCTGTAAAGTCTACATGACTCCTTAATTCTTAGCAGTAATTTTGGGGGTGCTGGGTGTGCTTTAGGGGAGCAGCTGAAAATAAAGATTACCTAAGGTACCACATGATAAGGCATAATAACATTTTCAAATCTGTTAAATATACAGGATGTTGGTTATGAATGATCAGTATCTCCTGATTAGTAGGAATGAAAAGATTAAGGTTTTGAAGAAGAGATTTAGATTTAACTGGATTTTATGAAGAATTAGATTTTATGGGGGAATTTCTGATGAGAGAATTGTAAAGTCAGAATATTCTATCAAAGAAAGATACAAAGATCCTTCTCAGTGATGGAGAGAAAAGTCACCTCTTGGAGATGGTTATAGGCAGAGGGTGGAACTGGGCAAAGAGCAATTCAGGCAGAGCTAAACCTTACAGCACGTTCT